ATTAACATAACCTTCAGACTCAGATTATACCTGCTAGTAGATATTTGTTCATACAACCGAAGTTAAACTTATACTGTGCTTTTCTTCCCTGTCTTGGGTTTTCTTCTGAGATTAGCTATTGTATATTTCTGCTGCCTATTGTATACACCAGCTGTGTGATGGCTGCCTGATGTTACCCCAGAAATGTCAGCTGCTGATGGAGGCAGAGAATGAATGCAATTAGAGATGCTCTGGTGACAGCTCTATGCTTATAGTGTCAATGTTTAAATATTTAATCGGGACTATGACACAAAGAACCACACAATTTGGATTGTTCCTGAAAACAGGACCAGTACACTGCACTAACATCTTCTTTTATCCGGGAGATGCAAAGATCAATAGTGCGCACAAGCCCAAATAGTTTGACTTATTTTGTAAAATATCTGAAACTAGTTCCTGAAATATATTCTGCATCCACTAGCTGTGAGGAGACCTGCTTTTTAAGGCAGTAAGGAATGTTACTGTTTTAAACCAGTTCATTGCTGTTATACTCAAACATTAATATACATAAATATGCAAAATATAAAAAGTAAAGGGCTTGAATACTACTTTTGTTTCTTATATGATTAGTTTCCCTTTACTACATGTCTATCTATCAATTTCAACTGGCATGCCAAATGCCTTTTCAAATAACCTGTATCAAATCAACTTACAAATTATAAATTAAAAACCTTGGACACAATCATTAAGCAAAACATATCGAGTACATCTAGTAGTAGAACTACTCTGTATGAATTAGTTTAGAGCAGTTATGAGAAGCAAAAAAACCCCCAAAAACATGCCATGTTCAAACCAAATGTAGTCTTTTCCTAGGGCTACATGACCAGATCCTACCCAATATCAGATTCATTTTGGATACACAGTATTTACTTAAATCTAAGATTACCTTCATCTTCCCTTATACTAATTACAAATCCAAGTGTTGTCCGTATTTGTTCATCCAGTATAGACTTTGAGCTACTTTATAATTATTCTGCATTTGCATTGCATTACAGTCCAGTTTAAATATGCTGCAAGCAAACAAATTAGCTGCTCCATGGTGGCTGACTCTGTGCATGCTCTATTAGTGTAGTATAGTTTAAAGTATGTTACTGAAAGATGTCTGTAATACTGTATCCATGTACCAGCACAGTGTAGTTGCTGTTTACAGCAACTTAGTTCTAGCTGGCCATTTAGGACAGGGATTAAAATACATTAATTGAAGCTGCAGGAATAATTTAGGATAGGGAACTTACCTGAATTTTGGCCAAGAGGTTTTATAAATATTTATTTATAAATACTTATTCTTGTGTAAAATACCATGGGCCCAATGTAATTCTGTCTATTAATTCTCTCATTAAAATATAAGTTTTCCAGAAAAATGCTGGATTTTTACTACCCCAGAGAGATGGACACCACCTTTGGAATGACAGACACTATCTGTATTTTCTCTTTACATAAAAGTGATCATAAGTTGTTTGGATGGTTTTCATTTTTGTTTGTGTGTTTGTTTGTTTTTTCCTCAGCATTAGTGGGTAGATCTTAGCCTCAGGTTTTTCTTTTACTTGGATAAATATGAAGCATACCCTCAGAATGTGGGCAGTAGTACCCTGTCTCCTGCTAACCATTTGCCAGTCAACTCTGGAAGGCATGAGTCTCGTGTAATATTTACAGAAGGTATCAGTGCCTACAAACCAGCAATGTTACTGATACCTCATCTCTGATAAGAACTTGCTCCATTTGGAGACTGTCATCTCCATTTTACCCAATACATTAGTCTGTTTCAAAGAATATTAAAAAATAAAAACAATAGGGTCATCAAGAATCCCAGAACCAGGATATCATGGTGATTTATCTCATTTGTGAGACACTGTAAAAAAAATCTGAAATTTTATATCTGGCTGAAAAGAAAAATACAGTCTCTTTTCCTGGAGCGAACTATATTTTCAATTAACTTTCCCAGAGCTTCTATGTATATGATCACATGTGTTGGATGTGATCTCTGTTGGACTGAGACAACACAGTCATCCTATCCAAACCTAATATACACTGAAAAGCAGGGAGAAGGGTCAGAAAATTATTTATGCTGTTTCACTCAATTAGCATTGAGTCTTAGAGCACTGTTTTCCATACCTTCATTAATACAATGATCTGTTCCTTGGTCTGGGATCCCCTCGTTGTTTACTACTCGATATACCAAACACTAAACCTGGCAGAACTTCCGTGGGAGAGTGGTGCTGTGTAGCTGAGGAATGGAGTGTGAACTTGTTGGGTAATAACTGCAAAATGTTATCACCTTTTTCTAGAGTCAGAAACATATACCTGTTCAGACCTTTCTCAGCTACATGATCTTGACATTGTGCCTGAAGTTATCTCAACGTTTATGAAATCATTTTGGATTCACTTTCTCATTTCATTCTGTTAAGTGAACACTTTGCTGCCTGCACTCCTCACTTCCTGGGTATTTTGCTGTGCTGCACTTGTCAGCAAGTCACTGCAGTGCATTTTTCTCTCTCTGCAGTGTTAGTGAGTAATACAGTTTCAAAACTATAGTGTGAACAGCTCAGTAAATTTTCTTCTCTGCCACAGATTTCACATTAAAAAGACAGGACTAACACAATCAAATGTCAATATATGAACAACTGGTAGACAAAGAAGAATGAACCAACAACCACACAAAACTCATGGAAGGTACAAAAATTCTTTCAGTCCAGCAGTTACAGCCTGTTACCTCTGTGTAAGTTCTGTGGTCAAAGCCACAGACAATTCTCTCATTTTATCTGGGAGCAAATTTTTCCCAGTGGAAGCAATATATTAATAATGAACAACTAGAAAACAGACCTGCTGCTAAAATCTTCCAGAATTTCAGTTCTCAGAATTATAAGAATGATACATAGTCTCACCAAAAGTAGGATTAAAAAGAATGAGAAATAATTTAGGCATTAACTGATCACACTGCTTATTTTAAACCTAAGTGTTATGCAGCATAGTTGTTACTCTGCAGGGAGGGGGGGAAGGCGAGTGTACCAAGAATTTACTTATTTTGTTCAGGATTATAATTCAATTTTGGAAACTACTGTGATCATAAAATATACATGCTAGGGTTTAACTTTAGGTCAGAGTCATATGTTAAAAAAGATTGCTACGCTAGATTTTAAAAACATTAGCCTGAGTCATGTAACACAATCCCATTTTGATCATTCTGAGTTTAGAAAATGTACAATTACTGATGCTGGCAAGAAGTCACACCAAGGCCAAATGAGATTAATGAGAAATAAAACTGCATGCCAGTAGTATAATAGAAACTGAAATGAACAATCAAATGGGCAGAACATTCATGCAGCGTAGGCAGCAAAGCCCAAATAAATGGGCTTGAAAGCCACAAGAAAACTCTATATCAAACAGATAAATCAATTTGAAAAAGTTTTCTGTGCAGAATGGTGCAATAAGTTTTATAATACTTAAAATATAAAGCGATTTCACAGCTTTTGCTGCTGAACTATACACAATAATAAATCTACAAAAATCATGAAGTAGGAAAAGATTGGTTCAAGACCATTGGGCAGATGTATCAATAGGGAGGATTCATTTCACATTCATTTTCTATACTGCCTAAACCTCAGAGACTCCTTCAGCATCTCTCCTGGTGGAAGCAGGGCAGAATTCTAGGATGTGAAGCTGAACAGCTGCAGCAACACTCTAGTGTTCTTGGATGTTGAGTTACAACTCCTACAGACAGCGGTATGTTTACAGGGAACATGTAATAAATGAAAAATGGCTGTAATGGAAAACATCTATCAGCTATTGCAACACTAAAGATGCTGAATTCCAGGTTTCTTGAAGGAATAGTTTATAGTAACTGGTTGATGTAACCAGTGATAGGCTCTTATAAATTTACATTCACCAGTAACAGTGTTCAGTCAAAAACTATCAAAGAAAGGAAACATTTTCATTATTACGGAGAGAAACAGCTTCCTTTTTTAACTCCCCAGTGTTCTCCAAAGAAGTGTCTTTCAAGTATACAGGTAGAATATCTATATATCTACCAAGAATTCAGTGGAAGAAAGGGAGATAATGTACAGCACCTACATAATTGACCAAAGTCTGCAACCTGAAAAGTCCTCTACCTTTTCCATCAGTGGCAGCATGACAATGTGTATTAGCATGAGTGTGAGTTGATCAAGCAGGAGTAGAGTTAAATATTCAGCAATATCTATTCTTCCCAGAAGTGAGACTTAAGCCCTGTTTATAGGCACACTTATAAAAGTTTAAGAAAGGACATAGCTTAGGCAAAAAAAGAGATGGTCTCTCTAAGCCTTGCTCCTGCTACCTATCACCTCTGTGCATTTTCAGACACTTTACATTCATTTTTACACTCTTGTCCAGAAAATATTTACAGGTTTAGGACATTTTGTTGGAAATAACAGTGATATAAATAATTCATATGTACAGTTCAATTATTTCAATGTTTAGGATTAAGACAGAAGGAGAGATAATAGGCTGTTTTCAAACTACCAAAATACTGCTCAAGTCCCCATGCCTAAGCTGACAGGAGAAGGAAGACAGGGATCTAGTTAGGTCTCTGGGAAGAGTACCTAGAGCCTCAGCAATGAGTGGATCAGGTAGCTAGAAGGAAATGTAGGTACAGAAATGTGGATTGCACCCAGAAGAATTTAAACCATTCAAATCCAGCACTTGTTTTCTCTATTGCACAGCACAGTGGATGAATTCTGTGGCCTACTTGCACATAAGGTTGAAAAAGATTACTGTAATGGCCTGGTTTGGACTTCAATTCATGTGCCTGATTTCACTTTAGGCTATGCTTTCCCACTGCTCTGGCAATAAATAGCCTATATTTAAAGCATGCTTAAAAGCATTTTTCCACTGTCACAACACAGCAAAGGGGTTTCAAAATAAACAAAACTTCAGATTCTATACAGCTTCAAATGTTGGAAGTTTTTTTTTTAAGAAAGATTTCTTACCTCTTTTTCCATTTGAAGGCCTTCTGCTCTGATATTTCTCTCAAATACTTCCCTCTTTTCTGTTTGTGGATTAGATTTTCTGTATACCAGGATGTAGTCAATACGACATTTCCCATCTCTAAAATACAGTCCATTTAATTTGTTTTTATCAGGTACTTCCTGGAAAGAGAAAGTAAAACATTTCAGTAATGTTAATTTGCCTTGATAATTGCTACACTGCTGCTTGCATCAGCAGTTTTCAGTAACACTCAACAGGAAAGATAAAGAATCAGAATAAGCTGTTAAAGTTTTTAGGAGCTTTACATACAGTGCCATCTGCAAGTAGTACAGACCTCCTCAACTCAAAATCAAGAGGTCTTCTTAGGCAGATGTTTGGTCATATTGACATGGGATAGGAGAGAAGAGAGAATGCAAACCAACTTTTCTCCCCCATCACCCTCCAGAAAATTAGGAATAACCTCTTACATATAAAATAAAGCAGGGAATAGTGTTACTGAAGCATAAACTTAAAATTAAGAACTTAGTATGGTAGAATGTCTTTGTACATATGAGAATAATAAAAAGTGGCATGAACATTTACTGCAGTGAAAACCACTAAGACCTAGCACAGAGATTCTCATTGCTTTGCCATGACTACAGTACCTCTGAAAGGATAAGAAGGCCCTGTATCTACCTCATCATACCTCACCAGATTAACTACAAAGTATTCTTGGCCCAAGGAACAGCTGAGGAAGTTCACTGGATTTATTTGAAAATAATTCTTGGTGTTTGGTCTAGCAGTACATACGCACAATAACTACTGTTTCTTGGCTATTTCCTGCACAGAATGTGCCTGTTCAAATGTTTGCTCTCATAGAAAAAAACAATTTTATTTCATTGCTAATAAGAGGTCGAGCAGGTCCCTCTCCTGCGATCTAAAAAAACAAAATACTGGTCTCTTTCCAAAATTCATGAGATGAAACTCTCTACAGATCCTCCTCACAATTTAACACTACTTCCACATGATACGAGTCCTGCTCAGAGGTTGAGCTTTCACTTTCAAACAAGTTGTAATTGTGTGGCAGTTTGTGGGCTGGAGTGTTTCATACAAGAAACGTACACTGTGAAAGATACATGGGAACAAACAGGACTCCACCAGGGCAGTATGATTAGCAGGGGCCTTCAGGGACCTCAAAATCAGTCCAGCTCCAAGCTGAAGAGAGGATTAGACTAACACATCTCTGTTTTTCCAGAATTTGCTCAACGATTCCTGCCAGAAATAGCCATGTCCTATAAGTTATGATCAAATATTTGAAAAAAATTGATATTTGAATATTTTGCCTTTCACATCTGGGAACAAAGGGAATTTTCAAAATATTTTCTCCATAGGAGAACTGCTTCTTAACTTATATCACAAAAAGTGAACATAATAATAGCACAAATTATTCTTACAGAAGAAAGAAAAAAAGAATATTCCCATTCAAAGAGTTTAGTGTAAGCTATCATCTTTCTGATTCACAGCAGGCGTTTGATTAAATGGAAAAACCAATGAAAGCATCCCAAATGTCCCATCTCCTTTGTATATTCAGTTTACTGAAGGCAGAAAGGGGAATTTTTCTATGATTCTTTTATTACTGTGCCTGACTCCTGACACAGCTAAATGTAGACTTGATACAGTGGAACAGTTCTTTGAGCTGAAAAAGAAGGCAAGAAAAGAGATTTAATCCCTAAGGAAATAAAAGTAACAAACCATTTATATCTATACTGCATATCATGCTGACAAATGATATTATCAGGATATCAGAAGTATTTTTCACAGAGCATTAAATATGAAAACAGCTCAGGAAGCAGAGGGGCTTTTTTTTTTTTCCCCATAAAATGTCTATGTTGAGAAGATGTAAAAGAAGGTGTTATTTAAAAAAACAAAACAAAACAAAAAACAAACAAAATATTATTTCAATAAAGGAAGGGTGCAGTAGGACATTTAGAGGTAGTGGGGCAGCTTGATGGTCCTGTTCTGATTTCTAAGCCTCAAGCTGAGCCATCCCTCCTGTTCTGTAGGTCCTATGGTCACTATGTGTATTTTAGCAAGTAAAGCGGTGTAATAGCAAAGGATCTGCAGAGCAAAACAATGTGTGCTGAGGACCTGCTGACCACACTATGTAGTCTTCAGGGGTCACTTTGAGCCCACTCTAGTCTGGTCCAGGAGATTCACTGGGGTACACCTCACAATTTAATTGCATCCAGAAGGAATCCAGGTTTGAAATCCCACACTGCTCTGGAATGCAGGCAAAGCATGAGTAGGGGCAATTGAGAAATTAATTTCAAATGCACACTCCTGATCTGAACTAAAATGTTAGTGTAGACCCATCCAGAGCGTACCACAAGGAATGTGTCTTTCTCTGTGTACAGCAGTGACTCCACTGGAAAAATAGATTTGCCCTTCATGCTTTATGTTTCATCTTTCTCTGAAGAAAATTGGTTTGCCCTACACTGACTCATCAGTGCATATAGAACCTTACATTAAAGAGCATCTATGAGATTTAGCTTAGTTATTTGACTTTTAGGACTTCTTCCCCTATAAATACGACTTCCTGAGACAACTAATTTATCTTGGACTTACAAAATACTCCAAACTACAGTATTGTAATTTTTCACTTGGAAAGGCAGCTTGGAGTCTTTTTCTGTACTTGGAGGTCTTTTCATTTTAGCAACAGAGTATGTTAAATCCAGACTGATAAACCCTACTAGACTGGTATGGCCTCTGAGAAGGAACCCTTTCTGTTACCCTCTGTTATAGCCTGTAAGGCAGCTTTATAGACAGCCTGGACTTCTAAAAACTCTGAGGATCTAACATAGTATGGAGACAGTCAGGCTGGCCCAGCAGTGCCAGGATATAGCAGCTGCAGGGCTTTTGCATTGTCCACAGTATTCCACTCTTACACCATTCTGGACAGAGACTTTTCTCCTACCTTGAGGTTCACTGACCCTTCTCCAGACATTGCATCTCCTTTCCCTGTGTTATGACTTCAAAATTCAGTTTTCCTAAACTGATTAGAAGATAAAAAAAGTAATCTAGAACCAGGTCTGACTGCAGGTTTTAGTCTAGACATGTTTGTCAAATCTCCATTCCTTGATCTGAAAGAGGATGTCAGAAGAAAGTGGAAGAACAGGGAAGGCTTCACTCTAGCAGTAAGTTTAGCATTTCTTTGCAGTTTTATTTGTAATATGCATATCTAAAGTTGTATAATCAGGAATTATTTTCCAAGGAATGACTATTTTTTATATTCTCAGATCCACAACTGGGAGCCATCAACATTCATAGACATATGACTCATACACACATATGTGCTAGGAAAGCTTTAGACTACTGGCTTACCCCAAATATTTCATTATCCAAAACCAAAGGGTTCAGAACCCTAACAGCTATAGAGACTTTAAATGGAACATTTAGACAAAAGTGCATTCAGGGAAATCAAGGAGATTTGAAACTTTACCTGCAGGTCTTTTAAAAAAAAAATCAGAAGGGACTCCAATGTTCACTAATTTAATGATAGATTAGATTCTTTCTTGATTCCTAGCTATTTTGGTATCTGGTTATTATCAGTATGGATGCTCAATGAAGACAGAATCTTTGAATTCTGAAGATAATGTCTTTTCCTGTTGTTTGTGGCTACTTGAAACTAGAATCCCCTGCATGCAACTTCACAGCTGGTGGAGGGGGTTAATACCTGTACCACTAACAGTGATAACTTATGCAGGAAAAGAGGAACCCAGAACCACCCAGTTTTTAAGGCACAGTTATAATCAAAGAACAAGTGCATTTTCTCTGTGCGTTCTTTTTTTCTTAGTATCCTTTTGCCCATTTGGATTAATTTGTGGCAGCTGTAAATTTATTTTGCCATGTATCTTCACTGGTTGGTATATTCTTCTTGACAACATAAAATATTTAATTGCATAGAGTTTTTCTAATAATGAAATTATTTAGGCTGCAAAATCAAGTCTTCAGACATTAGGATGTAACAAATTTGTAGTTTTCTCTAAAAGCTTAGATAATCTCTTTCTATATCCATCCTGATTACTGAAGACAACTGAGATTTGGTGGAAAAAATTATGTAGATAGCTTGTATTCTGGTAAATACACACAGGAAAACTGAGCTGAAATTGCACAAGCTATCATAAGTTCTTTAAAGAATATCAGAATTCTTATTTTTCAATGTTAATGCCTTTTTTCTGCCATACTCTTCAGTGCAAGTTCCAATTTATAAAAGAGATTATTAAAACAAACTTCACTCAACACAATGTTAGTAACACTGCCCCCAAATATCAACAGAGTTTGATGCTTAAAGTGAAGATTGTAGGAGTGACTCTTAGAATTTTGATTTCAAAACTACCTACTTTAGCTGGAATGCCAAGAATGGTCCATACAAGCTCATTTAAGCACAAGTCATTTTGTCCCAGCTCTATCATTCTACTTTGTTTGGATAAAGAAGACTAATTTATTACTCCATAGAAAGAAAGGCAGAATGAATGCATAGAGTACAGCTCCCAAACCATTTTCCTTTAATTTTTACCTTCTTTCTGCTGCTTCTCCAGCTCTCAGAAAATGAAACTTCAGCGGAAGTAACACAATATTTTAGTGACAATATCTACCTGGATTTAAGTTGTAAAGTGTTTACCTAATTGTTATATTGGCAAATGTAAAAAGTATTTTGATCAATACACACAAAAGGAAATGTGATTTTAAATTTGCTCAGACTGTAATTGTGCTTGAATGAAACATAAAAAAAAACCCCAAACATCTCTAGCCAAAGGACAAGCTGAATCCCAGTCTGGCTATTCATGTGTTAAGGAACTGTTGATAAAGCTCCATCCGTAAGGTTTTCATTGGATCTTCTGGTCGAGCACAAACAAATAACAGTTGAAGCAAACAATATTTCAACTTGTCAGCTACACAAAAGTGGTAAGAAACCTTTGGTATCTCCTTGTAAATTTTTATTATTGTAAATTAATTTTAATGAATTCAGACAGAAACTGTATTAAATCATTTGTCTGCAATGTTAGCTTTAAAACTAAACCAAATAAACATTATTACATTTAGACTTTCACTGGGGCCAGGTTTTATGTTCTGATAGCATTAAGCGGCATCAACAGGTTCTCTTAGATACTAAATGAAACTGAAAGACTGAAAAGAAGCTTGAAGCTTCAGAGTTCATGCCACCAGTGTATAGTTGAGCTCCCATATTTATCCATACAAAAACCATATGTTTAAACAGTGAATCTTTTCCTCCTGAAATTAAGCAGGGGCCAAGTACCTTGAAACTTTTTTGTAGGCTACATTGCCCCTCAGCTCTCATTAAAACTATCAATTTTCTGTTTTTTTTTTTCCCTCTTATAGATATACTTGACCTACATTGCTATTTTCCTCTTATGGTTATGGGGGGCGGGTGAGATAATCTGTTCAACTAGCAAAATGTTTCTCAGAAATTTTCCCTTTCCTTTTAAAAAACAACAAACAACACATCAAACAGCAAAAAAAGGTTTTGCCGTAACAGCAGCATGTGTTGTTCTATCTCATCCTCTATCCTTCTGACCATTTTCTGTTCACTTTTCCTCTTTAATATGCAAAGATCATGTGCCTTTCACCCATGTCCTTTTGTTAAGAGACCACATAGTACATGATCTCAAAATGCAACACAAGAATATCACAGAATCAGACTCATAGGGGTTGGAAGGGACCTCAGGAGGTCATCTAGTCCAACCCCTCTGCCAACACAGGTTCCCTGCAGTAGGTCACACAGGAAGGCGTCCAGGCAGGTTTTGAACATCTCCAGAGATGGAGACTCCACAACCTCTCTGGGCAGCCTGTTCCAGTGCTCTGTCACCCTCACAGTAAAGGTGAATATCATGTCAGGTTAACTTATTACAGTGCAAGCAGGCAAAGAGGGTCCTTTGTAAATTGTATGGGAAGCTGCAGAAGAGCAATGAGTAAAGGGGAAGATGAAATTGTGAGCAAGGTCAAACACATCTCTGGGTGCCCTGAATTTTGTTGCTTTAATTATCTGTCTAAACATTCCAGGAGTGCAGCTCTCTATGGGCTGAATTTCTAGCAAAAGGGACATGTCTAACTCTCTCCTCAGCAGTGTTTCACAAAAGAACTTGCACCACAAAACCCTCTACTTCCTGCAAAAGACATAATCTGTAGTTGTATCTTCTAAATTTTATCTAAACTAGTAAACAAACCCGGGTCAGGACAGGGGCTTCAGCAATATCCTATGTTTTCCATGCTTTTTCATTGTTACTATGGTCTGTGACAGTTCTACTCTGTGCCAGTCAGCCCTCTGCCAAAAAGTCCTCAGGTACAGCTTGCAGGTAACATCAGACCACTCCAGTAAGTAGTCTGGATGCAACTGCACTCCTGAGGTGGGGGAAAGAAGTCCCTGGTCTCCTCACTCCCTGAGAAGATAGCTCTAACATCCAGGGATTGTAAGGCAGATGGAGGCAGAGTTAAAGGGTATCACGTTCTTTTCTGCACAAAAGACACAAGAAGGAATTTACGCCCAAATTTTCATACTTGGGCCCATGATGCTTTGCCTGCCTTAAGACATAATTTAAAAGAGACTATGTGCTGAATGATTCCTCCCTGGCATGTTCTTTGAATCACCATTGTTTACCATCACATGTTCTTCACTGGAAAACCTCCTTTTAACTTGAGATATTTTATATTTCAGCATTATAAACTTAGAATGGAAAACCAGTCCCCATGACAAAGGTCACATACCAATTGTCTTGCACAGAATGAGATTTTAAATCAAATTACATTTATTCCCTCTTTATAATGGGCAGGAATAATTATTATATTAATAATTCTGTGTATTCTTACCTCTCCCACAACTTCCAACCTGCTGGCATCATCAGAAGTACTGGTCAAATTACCATGGTGAAGTAGGGAGTCATCATCTTTGGAAGGACTGTTCACACCTTCCAATTCATCAAAAAAAATGTTGACATCCTTAGCTACTAGAAACAAAAAATAAAAATATACATTCAAATCACCATTGAGCCAAATGAAGACACTGAATACAACACATTATCAACAATCCCACTTTTTAGTTCTGGTTTAAGTATCTACAATGCTAAATTTAAAATCTGATGTGCATTAGAGGAGTACTTTCTTCACCAGTGAGCCACATAAAGATTTAGGATACCACAACATGTCTCTGATGACAAATAGGTAATCATCTGCCACAATAAAACATACATTAGCTATCTCCTTGGCTTCTCTTAGGGTAAGTGGCTTAATTGCCTTCTGGATTACTACAGTCTTTGAAAAATTCTTATTACAAAGCAGCAGGTTTTTAACTTAGTAAATAAAGTGTCGAGCACTAAGAAGTTGTACAGAGCTGTGGGGCAGCCAGAGGTAGAAAATCTCAAACAACTACTGCTACTTGAAAGGCACTGAATAAATGAGCCAGGGTAGAAGTCTGTCTTTGCGCAATTTTGCGTGTTTTGATGCATATAAAGCTGGTATGTTCAGATCTACCTATTGCACAGCCCTCAGTCATGCATGAAGCACTAGCTTAAATCTACAGGATGCTTCAGTAAATTCAACCCTGATAAACAGTGAAGAGATGTAAGGGCCTGGAGAACATACCCTGTCTTGGGGATCTGGCAGTGGGCTTGGAGCCAAGACAGAGCCAGGGCAGCCAAGAGCGGCCCCTTCCCTCTGATGTCTGTGGGGAGAGCCCCCACACAATGCCATGGAGAGGCCTTGCCCAGCCATCCTGGGGCTGTGTCTGACCCTGGTTCTCCTCACTGCGCCTGATCTGATGTCAACCCATGGGCTGACATCCTGGCCTGGCCTTGACCCATGCCCCCCAGGGCAGGGCTTGGCAGCTTGGGCCTGTTCCCCCACCCTTCCCTCTGCCTGACCCCCCACGAGGAACCCCTGGCCCCAGCAGTGCCCTGACAGGAGATACCTGTAAATGGGTTGAATTTCCTCCACCTTTCATGCAATGCCATGTCATGTGATCATTTTACTCTAATTAAAAAAAAAAAAAAAAAAAAAAAAAGACTAGAAGGAATGAGTTAAAGGCTGGCACACTACTCAAGATGAGAGCAGCATTAGCTTTAAGGTGATGTTCCCTGCTCTGCTGAGCAACGAGTTGATGAGAAGCTGCAGGTAAAGCTGCTGTGCAAGTCTGTGATCCCACATAAGGGCCATTATCTGCTAACTTAGTGGCTCTTGGATGGGACATGTGAGGCGCGCAGGCTATAGCCAGCAAGGTCCACCTTTGCACCCCACACTCTGCAGGTCTAGTGTGAAAATGTGATGAATACATGTGTGGCAGAGGGAAGAAAAATGCCTCTTCTGAGGATCAAGCTTCAGCTGTGGATAGACTTCATCTCTCCGACCTCGTGTTTCATAGACAAAATCCAGAATTATGTCAGTAGAGTTGTAACTGTTAGCAGGGACTCCTAAAGGTCAGCTACTGAGCCTCTTCCCCTGACTAGAGCAGGATCAAGCACCTACCATTCTTGACAGAAATTTGTCTAACCTACTATTCCTCACACTTTTTTAAAAACTTGACTGACTTCTGGAATAATTTTTCTGTTATGAAATAACCTTCTCATCCTTTTGCTTCTCTGCAACCCCAATAACCTAGTGACAGGCAGTTGTAATTCCTCTTGACAAGAATTTATATTAACAGGGAACAGCCCAAAATCTCTAATTGCCAGTAGCAACCTACTTCCATTTCTATCTCCTGGCTGCAGGTGTAAAAATCCATTCCCCCACTGTGGGGAGATTGAATGGCTGCCAGACATTAAAGGCTATTAAACTGTTCACAGCCATTGTGAGCATTTTGTGACCTTTTCACCTTTCCCTTCTTCAGGGGCTATAGCCCAGTGTAAGCAACCTTTTTAAAAAAATGTCCGATGGTACTGACTCCACAGTCTCTGCAGGTGGCCTGTTTTTCACTTTCACAAGCAGAAGAAAGTTTTCGTCATAATACTCACCCTGAATATGCACCTAATGTTGCAATTTCAATATATTATTCTTGTCCTATCAGTCAATCCCGAATCTGGGGAAGAGATTACTCCCTTTTTGTATTTCTTTTACAGTATCTAAAATCTGTTATTACAGTTGTAGGTAGGTAAAAAGAAAACCCCATCAAAATATTCAAGAACTCTTCTTCTTCATTTTCACGCATAAAACAAGGAGAGGTTTAGTGAAATACATTGATTTTTCAATTGCAATACTTTTGCTCATAAAGCCACTAAAAACTTCAGAAACAGAAAAGTCTTCACATCCAAATGAATCCACTAATCCAATGAACTACCCTGAGTAGCATAATTTTAAATAGAAATTAAGAAGTTTTAATACTTTTAACAGCATTTTTTTTCCACCTAGACGACATAAAGATAAGAAATTTTGTGCCAGATTTACCACTTCTAGGATAACATACTACTCAGGTTTACCAATTTTGTGGTTACATGCTGACTAATCTATCATTCTTTATATCCCAATATTAGTATCACACAATAAATCCTTACTTAACACTTCATATCATAATTTATCAGTTTTAGATAGCATCTTCTGTTCTGCAGTATTTTACAGTGGGTGTATCATCATAGTCTGCGAATACATCAGAGATATAACCCCTCTTTTTGTAGAGATTAAGTTTCAGTTGCTGTTTTAAGGCTGTTTTTACTATTAGTCCATTTATTTTACTTATCCTTCTTTTGCAAAAGTGCCAGGATATCATTAGAGACAAAGAGCCAGGATTGAGTTTTCCACTTTAAAACTGGCCTTGGCTTCACACTATCCCATTCCCAGTTGGGGGTGAGCTTACTGACAAGGGTGGGGAAGAGCATCCTGGTGCTGTTTTGGTTTATATGATGGGGGGAGCCTGCAGCTTCTCATGTCACTGTATCTGCATCCAATGTGTCCTAGGACAAACTATAGAGGTTTTAGGAGACTTAGGCAAAAAGCAATTGGAGCAAAACTCCAATTTGTACCACACATAGCAGCAGTGTTAAAGAATTATTTGCCACCTTGACCCATTTCAATCCACAGAATTCATTCCGATAGATGCCTATAAAAGACAGGGGAACTGTCACAAGACAGCACAGACTAAACACCTGCCCTTCACTGTCCTTATGGTTTCAAAGGACAAGACCGGAAACATTCCATCCGATGAGATAATAATCTGCATGTAGAATCATAACCAGCTTTGCATACATGTTCACATCAGAAGAATTCATCTCGATACTCAGTAGAAAGAACTACTGAAACAGAAAACATTTTTAATTGCTTGAAACTTCACTCAACTGAAACCCAGTAGAGCACGTCCATGAGAGCAACACATGAACCTTTATACGATCAATACCTCAATATAGTCTGAAGATTGCTATGGAAAAAAAATAATTAAATAGTGAAGCTTTATGAAGATTATGCAGGAAATCTATCTGTTGCAAGCAGAGGCAATGAAAGACGTAAAAATTAAAGTTTTGCCTGCATGCTATGCTCAAAGGAATTTGAACTAGCTTTTTCCTGCCATAAAGACTGCCTTGGTATAAAAGTTAAGGCCTTTGAGATACTAGAATTGCTGCTTCCTGAAATACCAGTAATGCTTTGGGTTGCAAAATGAATGTTTTTTAAGTGGGTGTTTTGAGATACACAGCTTGGTGTGTAAGAGTGAATGTGTTTGGGAGTTTCCAGCAGAGAATTACTGGATTATTCTAAGAATTTGTGAGGAGCAAAAAAAATCTTATTTCAAGTTCACTTTAAAATCCATCCCATCTCAGCAGTGACTAGAAGTTGTGGAAGCAGTGAATCTCAGCTCATTAGTGAAATTAGCTACCAGGACTTGTCCAGATTGCCTGTAGTAAAAAATTGCTTCTATCAGAAGTATGCAGATAACTGGCATTCTGGTTGGTAGCTTCAGCAAATAGGATAAGTAGTGAGGAGACGTGCTGAGCTACCCTATCAGTGCTGAAGATGTCTGCTACCTTCTTGCAGTTGCAATAAAGGTGTGCTGCTGGTGAAGTGGAGCTCTTTACACTGCAGTTGACTTGCTATGTATGTTTTTGAAAAAACATTCCTAGTATTTCAGTCTCTGACACTAAACATGGGGCCCTAACAGTAGCTGAGAACATTTTTCTATTCAATTTTATATACTATTCTGTGGATAGTTGAAAAAAAATTATAAAATACTGTTCCATAAAACTAAATAAATAATTTAAAAAGCAAATCCTGTTTGCTTTACTTTACTAATGGCTATGGTACTTCCAAGCAAACTCTCCTGCTGCCTGCAGCTAGCTCAGCCACTGCACTCCAATGGACACTAACACCTATGCTGCCAAATGTCACTAAAGGCATAATCAGGGCTCCACCTTTTCTGTCCCCTTCAGATCATGACATGCATATATCCACAAGTGACCTTGACAGAATGATAGATAATAATTTTATCATATATATGCTATTTGGGAGACAGACTGATACTAGTGTATAGTCATGTTTTTTAAGCAGTAAAATTTAGCAGCAATGGAACAGCATATACATTGCTACAGGAGAAACCAAGAATTCCCCCTCTGGTTTTATATCAGCTTAAATATGCAAGCTCTTTCTCCCCTCATGTTCCATTTAGTGGAAAAAACATTAAAATGACTTGATAACTCAGAATCCCTCAAGGAGCTGAAAAAATGTGGATATACAAATATTTTTGTTCCAAATATAGTAGAACCAAATATTCTGAAAACTGAATGCTGGGAAATTCTGAGCGAGAGCCCACACACAATCTCAGTGGATCCACAAGCTACTTTGGACCAAGAGGGTGAGTTAGGCAGGGCTCAACGGTAAGATAAGGTACCTCCTTTAACCTTCTGAAGATGGATGCTCTAGAAGTAAGGTGCCTAAAAATAAGATTTTTCATTAAAAGTGGGACCTGACTGTGTTTTTGTGTGTCAAGATGGAAGCATGCTCAAAGATCGTATTTCTGATAATTAATTGTCATTTTATTACCAATTGTTACACCAAGCCATCGAGTATACTCTAGCTTTGAATAATGCAAGCTGAAGACCAGTATTCCAGAAACTGCTCTGTGGAAGCTTTTAGGTCTGTCAGTAACATTGAAGAGTGAATTTCCTTGAAAATTCTTACTGGCAATGTTTACTATAAGCATAGAGCATTTCTACATGTTAATAGTGGTGGAAAAAAATATTGTGTTTAAAAGCACCAATATTGGAAAATATCCCTTAATAAAAATCCTGAGTAGAAAACAACTGTTCTGCAGAGACTCGCAAAGCAGAAATATTCCAGTATGAAAAACCAAGAAACTGTCTGCATCTTGTTGTACTACATATTATGTATTTACAGCATCTATTTAGATCTTTGGATACAAACATTTTTCTGCACTCACTAAGGCTGGCAGATACAATTTATAAATCTTTGCTTCAAGGAGGCCATCCTACAGATACCATGCAGCCCAGAACTTTTAAATTCACGTTATTATATAACATAATTAATTTAGTTAACACATTAAATGCTAAATTCAGTAACTACACAGTGGATCAGCAATCCTGTCTCAGGAAATTCACTGAATTCTGGCTTCCAGATTATGAGAATTAAAAGAAGCGAATAAAATTATTTTTTATTAAATCTAGTGAGAGTCAATGTAAACTGGATTTTGAAAAATATTCTTAAAATCCAGAGATTTCTTAGAATTTTACTTTAGTGCAATGGCAATGAAAATAAGCTTAATACACTGAAGCAAATTATAGGAATGCATTTAAAAAGCTTGAAATCTGAGGGGGGTTTTATTTTCAATAAAGCTACTTACTGATTTTCCACAAGAAGTCCATCTTCTCAGTGCAATAAGTAGGAAACAACCATGAAAGCCTTCGCTAGCTTTTGCCATGATCCTGAGGACACCTCCAGCCCTGGCTGCCCATGCCTGGACCCCCCAGGTTTCCCCAACGCTGCGCAGGTCCCAGGACCTCATTTCAGCCCCCCAGAACTGTCAGTCCCTGCCCCAGTGATGCCACAGTACTACCAGTCTCCAGCTCCCCACAGCCCTGCCCGGCCATGGCCCCACAGCACCAGGGAAGTACCTGATGATCAGGGCTGGGGCGCTCCCCTGTGCCCCCCGGCTGCTGTGCTGCTGGCTGGGGTTGTGGCATAGGCACAGTCCATGAGTAGGCAGCAACAGGGAATTCTGGTTTGTATCTGACAGACAGTTCATGCAGATCCTGGACACCACCGCTCTCTAGTTCACAAGTTCGGTTTAGGTCAGATGCATCACCCTGTTTTGCAAATTTACAACCCTGTTTTACACTGTGTGTCTATAGCCATTTTCAGATTACTAATTATGGTTTCTGGACTGCGTCTGATGGACTAGAGATAATTTCTGAATGTCATGTGGTCAAGAAGAAACTGTTTAATAAAAGACTTACCACAAATCTTTAGAAAAATGTGTTTTAAGACTTCACCATGAACTATGGTACTTAAATGAAGAATTTAGCTTTGATGCAGTAGAAATTACTTTTAAGTCTTTTAATAGTAGTACATTCACATAAAAGCAAATAGTGAGATGGTAAATCTTTATCTTCAGTTGCAAACTAAAAGATTCAGTAGGGTAAAAGAAAAAAAAAAGTAGCTTTATAGCAAAATGCTTGTTTTAAGTAACTTTTTTTTTTTTTTTTTAATATCTGCTATTAGAGGGTCACTCTTGGTAGTGTACTAAACAGAAAGACGTACCAACTAGCTAAAGTTGCACAAGTCGCCTCCTGAATAGGGAAATGCTCAGGAAACTCATGTTAGCAAGAAGAATGTATGTGGTCTTTAAAAGCATTATTAGCCTTTTAAAATTTTCATTAAACACTAACAACTGGGAATAAAAGTAAAAATGACTATTCACATAAATCACCCTAGAAAGAATATTTAGGCATGTTTATCCTAACTATTTGGTATTCATCACAGACTGCATGTGACAAGACACTCCCCTGGACACATAACAAGCCTTTGTAAACTGGGTTGTACAGTCATAGCAATCCTTTTGTCTTTCCAGAAGAAAATATAGCTGAAGGACACAGATATTAATTTTACAACAGCAACTGTATCTGGTCTGGATAAAAAAACCCCTCTGTCTCCAAAGCTGTAAAAGCTGCATCCTCAAATGGCTCTGAAATAAACTAGAAATCAAACTGTTAATTCTTAAAAGGCTCTATGTACTGCTATTTTGTTTTGAAATTATATTCAAATTGCTAAAACAATTTGGGATCCTATTTCTATTTAGTTTATATCCATTAATCACTTGCAAATATTTGGTTTACTTAGGGTAGGATTCACCTACATTTACACATCTACAGTACAGATGTTTATGTCTAAGCTGTAGTAGTGATTCAAGTTAGTTTATCTCCCCAAATTCCACCTGCAGGCAGCAGAGGCAAATAGCCACTTCCAAGTTGCAGGTCATCTAATCTATATCAGACACCTACTTTAAAATGAGACAAACTGGGCTGTGGTCAGGCTAGTTACATTCTGTTGATTGCAAAGGGAACTTAGACAATGAATTCAGATCTTGATACCTTCCTTGCAAACCCCTGTGTTCAAGTCAGATGAATGCCTTCTTTATTTAAAAAATGGCACACTTTTAAGAGAAACTAGGGTGTTTATCTAGAAGTCCAAGATTTGAGGTTATAACCAAACCTTTGCTGTGCTGAATGAAAATTTGGGGTTATTCAGCACAGGGATATAATCAGAGAATATGATATTGAAATATGACACAGCAAGGGAAGTTCGAGATATGGTCATTTTAAAGAGAAGTTGCTTTGGACAAACACTGTTAATAAATCTAATCTTGACATCCAATTCTTTTAAATAAGCCATTTTTATTCTCCTCAGCCATGGGCTTGAAATGGAGAAGATAACAGTTTCTTGTATTCCAGTATGGTCTCTTCCCAACTTGAATTTGCTTATCCTTGTTTATCTGTCTTGTCTATTTAGCCTCTGAAAGACTATAGTGCCTTTTCAGCCTCTCCAGTCCACATCCCAACTTCCTCCAGGCCTATATCTGGGCTGTGCAGGTGTGGAGAAGAGAGGAGAAAGAAAAATCTCATATTAAGATTTCATGATGGGAAAAGCTTTTTAACTTACAAAACAGGGGGTTCATCCTAGACCTACAGCTTAAATAATGAGGTGATTAAATTTCAAATTATTACCCCTGTCATCATATGAATCTGTGAGTTTTCCTTCCACTCCCAAATTAATACCATCACCAAGTGGATCCTAACACTGTATGATTCCTTATTGATAAGGCAAAAATCAGAAGTGCATGATTTTACACATTCTTATATATCTTTTATAATGTTTTTTTTTTTTAAGTTGCCAATTCTCACTTTAGAAAATTGCTACACAAAACATCCAGTTTTAAATAAAAGTGGAAAAGAGGGAAACCAGGAATCCATGCCATGCATTTTGATTCTCAGCCTGCATAAGAGTTTTCAGTCTCTTAAGGAAAATTCCCACTGAAATTCCAGATTCTTCTGGATTCCAGAGTTGCACCAGTTTGGGGTAGGGGAGTGTCTTCCACTGTTGTTCACAAGAGTAATGTTTCTTCTAGTACAAGTCTTGAGATCATTCTGCAGTTACATTTGAGAAGGGTGGACCAAGCAATTCTTAGTCCACAGCACATTACATGTGAAAAGAGATGGTTTCATGCAGTATCTAAGATATGCAGACCTTCGGTTGTTGTGACAAACTTATCACTTCTGCTTCCAAAAATGACCAGCTGCAAAAATGTGAATATACTCCAACACTTTGGAACAGCTGGAACCTAAAATCTAGTCTTAGATCCCAGACTGCAGCATTTGCATGACATTATTAGTTCACACAGCCATTCCAGAGTATAAAGAATGGATTAAAGCAACAGGAGTCTAAATAATTTTGATTACTACTACATAGGAAATATATACTGCTAGAATCTTTAGGCACATAATAATTCAAATCTTACTGTTACTTCTCTGATAGCAAAAGATTTCTTACTGGTCTTCAATAACTCATTGAACTTTCTTTGAGATTTTAATAATACATACTCACTTATTCAGTTTATTACTTTGTATGTTCCTTCAGTTATAATTGCAATGCATCTCAATTGATTCTTCTACATAAAACAAATTTTGCATCCAAGGAATAACTTACTTTCTTGTATTGCATTAAGAATTTCTGAAAAGTCCATATCTGTCTTCTGTATGTCTGGTTTTATCCATATTTGCGTTTCCAGCCGGTTAACCTGTAAATCCTCTCTTCCTTCTGAAGAAATTGAAGAGATTGATGGGGTTTGTGACAGTGCCGTAGAAAATTCAGCTAAGGGGCTTTCAGGTGAGGGAACATATACATTTAATAAAGCTACTTAATTTTTTTCCCCCTAGCAGAACTAATTGTTCTTCAAACCAAAAAGCTTTAGATAGAACACAGACTGATTTAAAGCTAAATAGAATCAAACAACAACATTCTCTGCTATCAGCAATGATGCAGAGTCATCCCTGGCGAGTCCCTCATTCAGGTGAACATGTGCCGCCATGCCATGAGCATCCCCTCACCATACCATCTACAAAACTAACTCCAAAGTGTGGAAATAGACAAGACGCATTGTTACAAATGACACAACGCTACAGGAACAACTAGGCTAAAATAAAACACACTAACACACAACAGACGAATTAAGTCTCAAGACAGAAAACAGGCATTAGGACAAAAAGAGCACAGACAGCATGTTTCAGCCACAGGACATCATATGTTCTCACCACACCACTCTGATGGCGTGTCATGGTCTCAGAAGCCCTCCAGTACTGAAGTCCATTGTAAAGGGAGTAACATTGGTATGCAATGGCTGCTGTTTAAAAGCACGTCAGAATGAAAATATAGGCTAGCAGGTCCCAGTTTCAAACCTATTTGCACATGCAAATAGGCACAAGATTTGCCCATTTCAGTGTTCTTTCAACATGAGCAAAGAAAGAAGGAAGTTTTGAAAACACACCCTTTCCATGTAAAGAAAGTTTGCTGCAGGTCAAGAGTAAATAGGAAAAGGTACTGGGCAAAGAGGCTTAAGCTGCTGGCTACAGGATACTCTGACACAGGCAGAGACAAGGAGGGAGCAACCAGGCATATGACCAGTTTTTAGAGTGGCAGCAAAACCTGACCTCTCAAAAAGGCATCTGTTAGACGTGATGCTCTTGAGTAACTAATACACACAGCAGAGAGCTGCAGCAGCGAGGGAGGTATCTGGGAAATGGCTTCACAATAAAAAGGCCATGGTGGAAGAAGAAACCTTCAGTTCATTTAGTCCATTACTGTGCCTTCACTACTGGCCATTACTCATGCTTCTGATAGAAACATTATCCTTCTACAGGCTGCCTGTAACAAGCTGGTCTTTTTTGAATTTCCTCCTAGCCCATTCCTTGTATCTTCCCCTGCCCCTCACCAAATTACTGTCTCACCACTGCCTTGATGAGAGTTATGAATTATATGCCTGGGCACAGAATTACTTTATCCTATTTTAAATACTCTTCTTCACGTTTTGGAAATACAGATCTCAAAATGTGTATACACGCGCCAGCCTCAGCCTTTTTTATTTCCCTATGTTAAAATATTATAAATTCAAAACATCTCATGCTTGCCCCAGTGCCTTCTTTCGTTCCACAGCAAAGACCCACTGTGAACATTAGAGACAGCTCCCCTTGTAGATGCCTGTAAAGTGATCAGTCATAGCAGCAGCAGAAGTCAGCATTTAATGATGTGGAACAAAGAGAATTCCTTAAGTGAGACAGCTGATTATTCATATAATACCAGCCTAGGGAAATCTGCAGATGGCCTCAGAGGTCGGAGGCTAGGATTTGCCCCAGAAGAGAATTCTGAGGACAAAGGAAAAATACTGCAGTTGCTGGAAAAGACATAAACAACAGGATGGAGGTAGAGAAGTAAGCAATGGACAGCAAGCTAAGCAGCTTTTCAAGTAATATAATTCAGTTTCTTGTTAAATACTCAGCTACCACTTTTAACATAAATGATTACAATATTTGCGACCTCAAATCCACCAGCCTTTCTTTTCAATTTCAACCCTAGTTAGAGCAAAATAACGACAATACTGACAAATATAAAATACCCCCTCCTCCTCAAAGCCCTCCAACCTTGTTACACCCAAATCTCTGCTCCTCAGGACACTTGAAGGTAGCAGGATCTCTGCAGCATCTCAAACAGATCTGAGCTAATTGGGCTGGGAAGAGAGGAAGGGAGAGCCAGCCAGCAATGGCTGTCCCAAAGTGCTGATATCAGATGGACTATCTAACCACAGGCCTCTTAACAAAATGAAGCTGTTGCAGAATATACGTATTCTATTTCAAAGCCACTTTTTAACTAATGAAAATACCATCTAGAAAGTGGTCAGAAAATGTCCAACCTATACCTGGCTCTTGTTCAGCATAACACAACGTATGAAGCTAAGAAAAACTTTGCTGCATTCAAATATCCTCTCCTGCCTTTGACTTATTTGCAGTATGGGGAGCTTTCAGCAATCCACACAAATGACAGTCTTGTATGATTCTTTGATTCACAGTAGCCTGAATATCTGGCCTCACTACACAAGTATCAGACCAACAACATCATCCTCTGATTTCAATCAAAATTGTAGGCATAATCTTCTACCAGCCATTTAGGATTTAATGCATGGCTAACCACAGACTTGCCTTCAGCAACACAAGGAGAAAAGGAAATGCATCTGCCAACTTCATAGCTTCTAAATAAGTGGTTGCAGGAACACTTTATTCTCCCATGATCTTCATGGTGTCAATAAACAGATTTGAATCAGGTCACATTTGCTTCTACCCTCCTCTCTCTCTCAGCACCCACTTTGCAGGAGGGAGTGCCACATTTTCTAGCTGAGAGAATTAACTCCTATGTGATGGGTTGTGGACCGGCAAAATTAATGTTTGCTAATTTGTTGGTGGACAGAAGTTTTAGCCCAGTAGCTCTTTGGAAAAAGCCAATATTCTCTCCCATGTCCAAAAGAGATGGGGTTTTTTGTCTTACCACAGATCTCCCATACAACCAACCAAGATGACATCTGGTGTCACTGTTGCTATTAAGGAGTCACTAGCCTGGCTTTAGCATTTCCTTCTTGCTTTAGCATTTCCTTCTTGCTTTAGCAGGAGCTGATTTATGCTTTATCAGTGACACGTCCCACTGGGTAAACTCTAAGCAATATTGCCTGGGAGGTTGGGAGGGAAATGCCTTCTTTCCCCAGAAACATGAGGAATTAACAAACAAATAAAAGTGAAATAAATATTAGATTTATCAAATTTTATGTGATTTTATTAAAGTATTTGCCTAAGATTTTTCTCAACTTACTGAGATGTTTTAGTTCAACTGAAGTCATATTTTAAATTAGCTCATGGCATTCACTCTGATTTGCTTGTCGATGCATAAAGTAGTGCATAAAATAGCATCCTTTTTCCTTTATTTGTTTTGAATGGTCTCTACTAATTAGATTAGGAAAACAAATGAAACTTTAAAATGGCTTTTAAGTTTTAGAGGCTGATTTAGATGGTTTTTTCTAAACCAGAATTTTAACATACTTCTAAATATGAAAATGAACATATGTATCAGATAAGCAAATTATGTAGCAAGGTAGTTGAAATGGTACTAATATTAAAAAGGTCACTCCCACCACAGCGAGAGAGATTTTTGTGTCTGCTTAAAATTAAGAACATGCTCAGGTTCTTTACTGGATGAGGCCTTTATATATGTATCTAGTATCTAGCCAATTAATACAATCAGCATTTTAGACAGGAACGTTATAAGCAAAAGTCTATTTTCTTGCACAGTAAACACCTGGAGCCAGATTTTGAAAGCCTGCACATTTTTATACATGCACTGTGGTGTGTAAATTATATTTGTAGATAGATAGTCTCACATTGTGGCCTGAAACTGAGCATGAGCACTTGGGTACACACAAAAATGCGCATAGTTTCAATATTTGGCACCAAAATAAAGAATACAAAATTAAGCTGATGGAACAAGTGCTGCTGTTTCTCAATGCATAATAAAGGACTCATATTCACTGAGGCAGCCGAGGCTTCCTGAAGAGATTTAGCACTTAGGTCTGCTTATTGGTCAGAACAGAAATACTCAGTTGCTTTCTGAAATCAGTGTCTCACTTCTTTGTGCCTCCCTCACCCCCTTCCAATTAACTCAACGAGTGAAAACAAAAGTTTTGTCTACAGTTCTATAAGTTTCTGTAGGGTAAAATGTATAGTTTCAAAAGATCTTCCTGAAAAGACAGCTAACCAGTGGCTTCTATCAGCATAGTGAGCCAATTTCTTACTTTAAAAAAAAAATCATTTTGGCAGCAAACATATACTTCCGTGATGGTTGTACTTCAGCACAGACACTAAATATGAATACCAAATAACTAGTATGCCATATGGGTAGGTGTTCCTATCACAGGGCCATCTACCTCTAACAGGACAGTATTTAGCAAGATGAAATACAATTTTAATATGAGCAGTTTTCATTTGCTACATTATGCACTGCCTGTAGTTTCTACAGACAAGTTTCTCCTTCTCACCAGAGCCTCTTATTTACAGCAAGAAGAAAGCTGCTGTGCATGCTGCCCTTTCCATTAAAAGCAACCCCAGGTCAACATGGGCTGAAGGATCATTCCTGCAGGTGCATTTTCTACTGGCTTCTCACTGTGAGAGACGATCTGGCAAGGCAGGTTGTCTACAGCAAAAACACAGTTTCAAATGGAAATTGTTTAAAACGTTACCTATACATGTTAGTCAGGGCTATATACACATGTGAAATCCATAGCTTTACTGATCTCAGTTCTGGCATTTCTCATTTCTGTGACAGGAATGAAACAAAATGTACACTGTAGTGGGTCTTTCCAGCATCCGTCCCATAACTGCACTGGACAATACACCTCAATAGATGAAAAACATACTGGTTCAATTATTGCATCAGAAAAACAGCTGTTCTCTGAGTCATAGGATGTGTGCAAATAGATAATAATATACACATATCTTGCCTTCCTAGCAAGATAAAGCTAGCCCTGAAAGCAGTGGCTCAGAGATAGCTAATTATGCATCATTAGGCTAAGGTGTCTCAAAAGTCTTCAATAGAGAGCTGCTTTTGCTACATTGGTCAGAGAGAATCTCAATTATTTTTCTGTAATAAATCCTATATTGTATTCTGTTTCGTTCCTCATCAGCCAGTAAAGTATTGTAATATTCTTTCTGCCTAAGCATTTTTCT